TTTCTAACTAGTTTCCTCATAACATTCAGAGCCCTGGGGGCAGAAGCAAAACTGCCAAGCAGCAAGTCAGTTTTACCCTGCTGTTTCAAAAAAAAAAAAAAGCCAAAACAACAACACACGAAAAGAACACAAAATGAAATAAAAAAACCAAACATAAACACACAGGCAGCAATAAGCACCAGAGTTATTCAGTGGCTTAAGGTGGAACCCTTCCCGATTTTGCCTTCGCTACCTCTCGGGATAAATAGGCAGATCCTCTTTGGGTGGACACCAGCAAATTTTAAGTTTCAGTCTGCAAGCAGGGTAGAAAACAACTGGCTATGTCCACCTGGAGCCAAAGACCTGGCCAAGAAACCTGTCAATATTCACTGAAGGAAAATTGGGTTCACTAGGGCTGGGGATACAGATAAATTTAGTTGTTAAAATTCAGCAACAAGAACCCCCTGGGAACATCAAGGCAGTTTTAAATGGTCTGGTTTGCCCTGAAAAGCGCATTGGAGGATGCATCGCCTACCTTCTTTACTCCAATTTCTCTCCTTTCAGCTCAAGTCCCACCGAGCGGTACAGGCAAACTCTTGTTTCACTCCCAGACTCTTTCTAAAATCCAGCCAAGTCAGATTTTTTGAAATATATTTCCCAAATCCCAGTTCTTACATCTGCCCTGGCTTATCCATCGGAGTTAACCACAGACTTAGAGCCTCTAGCTGAATTTATTAGCAGCCTTTAGGCTAAACAAACCGTCTCCAGCGCAGTTAACCAAAAAATGTTACTAGTCTTGGCGAAGAAGCCCTCTTGGGAACACTTGACATCCACAGCCGCTTGCTCTATTTTAAGCGTGTGCTTCAAACACCTCTCCCTACCGATGGAGTTATGGAGTATCTCACACTGGGTTGTAGCCTAGTAGTAATTATTTATTTCATTCAGGCTGCAAACTGGCTTATTTTACCATGACAATAATTTAGCATCGAGTCAATGGAAACTAGTACAAGAATTAAACGCAGAAATGAGGCAAAAATAAATGAGCAACTCTCATCGCTCATTACTCTTGCAAGTCAAGAGCACTTTTGAGGTTACTGCCTAGATGCCTCTTGACCTGGCTGTGTAAGCCATCTTTTACCTCCACTTCTGGTGGCAGATCACCAAATTTGAGATTATCTCTCTCAAATTTTAGGCTCTTTCAAAATCACCAGAAGGCCCGCAGCCAAGCAGCTGGTGGCTCCTTGGTCTTGTTTCCTGGAGAATTGAGATTCCCGCTAGCTCCTTCTTCTTGGTCCCCAGTTTCTCCAACAGGCAGTCCCTACCACTTTCCTAAGCGATGTTCACCTCCGAATAACATGGTCAGCGCCGTTTCATGGATGCCCACAGGCTTCTGTGTGGCAGGGGTGAGGTTGGACCAGACCAATGGCTCTCCCTCTGCAGCTGCCCGCGCCTCCCACAATGATTTTCTTCAGAGACCCTGGTAACACCTAAATAATTGCTCAGACTTCAGGAAACCTCCCCTGGACATTTTATAGCACTCAAAGGTTCAGACACCTTCCTCCCAGCAGGTTATTCTGATCGCCAAGATTTAAGATTGAGGTTTTTCTTACGCACCTCCTCTACTCCTGCCGGTGTCCAGCTCAACTCCTGCTCCGTGGTTCCTAAAGTGCACATACATATATTGATACAGATAGACAAGAAACCAGTAAATTTAGGACAAGTAACTGAAAACAGACCTGATAACTGCCCAGTGACTGCACAGACTGGAAGAGACCGAGGCTTTTGCTTATTGTTCTGCAACACTGCCTGCAATATGAAGACAGATTATCCCCGCTTAATTTATAATTATGAAATCCAAAGGAGGAGACAGTCAAAAAGCTCAACGTGGATTTTCTCACCATTTCTAACTTACGAGCCCTCATCTTCTCTACAAGTGAAGCCACAGGAGAACGGATCACTCTGCAGGAACTGCAGCATGACAATCAGAAACACTGGTCAGAAAAGCCTTAGGAAGCAACTTTGAGGAAAGCTGTAGACACAGTCCTCCTCCCAGCAAAAAATAAGATGAGGGAGAACCACACCAGAGTGAGCTTTTGATATATAACCCCAGAGATGGTCCAACACAAGAAACTCCAGATCCCTGATCTGAGACGCACTCTTACTCAGCAAGACGCTACGGGCTCAGCAGAGCCGTTAGGTGGCCTACAGGCATGTCGACATTAATCTATTTAAGTCTATTAAATGATAGCAGCTGGCCTAGACGGGGTCCCGATGGCACAAAGCACCACTTAGCACAACGTTCAGCTCCAAAGATGCTCTTTTACTTGATGGGAGAGAGGAGCTCTTGGCTTTACATCCCGAATTAAGAACGGCAATATCAAATAGCTTCCTTCCTCATCGTGCCAGGATACTCACAAGCAACATGAAATGAAACTAAACTGGCTAAAAAATGGCTTTTGAAGGCTGGAGTGGTTGTAGGGCATGTAGGGATGACCGGCACAGTGAAAGCTCTTGAAATCTTCATTCCTGAGTTGGTTGGTGGGAGCACAAGGAAACAGAACTGACTACAGTGGTCCGATACTCTGCTCAACTTGCTAGCTCATGAACTTTTAAGTTAAGATGTGTGCAAGGCAGGAGAACACAAGATTTACATGGGATGTCGCCACAAGAAGCCCCATTTCTGTGGTCTATCCAGAATAAAAGGAGAAGAAAGAGCACCTTAAACTCTCGAGAGCGCCATACACCACTGCAGAAAGGTAGCTGACAACTTCAACGTGTCTCCAACATGAGACACCAAATGGTAACATTCCTCCGCAAAACACGAGCAGCCTCGTGCAAACCCGCCCTTAAAACTTTGCAGGCGTGCACTGCAGGAGCTGCCGCAGACCTGCCTGAAAAGGCTCCAGCCCCACAGGTAGCTGCACATCTGCCAGATCACAGCACTTGGGGACACGCCGGCAGTTAAAATAAATCACGCTTTGCACCGAAGAGCGAAGCCTCAATCGTATCCTGATGTGCCCAAACGCACAGGGACTTCCCAAAGGATTTGGCTCTGGCCTAAAGGTCTCCGATACAGAACACGGAAAGCGATGGGAATGTCCCGAGGGAAGAAGGGTGGTGAGGGGGAACGCAGATAAGTTGATCGTCTGATCAAGACAGGAGCCAGAGATCGCTTTGGACAATGACTTGAAGAAGCAAAGTCACTCTAGAAGACACAGATAAGGGATGTCAGTCAAGGCAGGTAAGGCACATGTTTTTACGTTGGGTTAGTTAGCTATTAGCTAGGTGAGGAAGTCATGCAGTGATACATGGTGCCAAGAGTCGATGAAATTCCCTGCAGCAGCAGCGGGCTACACCTTGCATCTCACAATAGCCACCTGCAAAGATGCTCCATCAGTTGCTGCTCTTGGAGAGCCGAGAATAAAATTATTTTATCCTCAGGGTTTTGATGCTAATCAGGCTAGACACCTAGAGAGAAGAAACTCTCCAGTATTGCCTGTGAAAAGGCAGATAGCTGGGCACCTCCATCTCCCGATGTGCTGAGCTCCTGGTTTAAAACAGCACTGGAGGAAAAGAAAAGTAACTTCTTTTAGTTAGAGTTTGAGAAGGCAGACCAGCAAAACCCTATGCCGTGCCTATAGCCACCACAGCCAATGATTTTCGGCTCTGTGAAGAGTTTAGATGGGATGGATGTGTCCTACAGACAGAGCCCGGCTTGCAGAGACACATGAGTAAGGTTCAACCGAGTCCTGGCATGACCTGCTCAAAAACAGCATTTAAAACCCATCACTACCTACTTTAGAGCAATGAAGGCTGCGCTTGAGTAGACTGTCTTGCCTTCAGAAACGCACTCATTCCTAAAATCAAACTTGAAGTTTCACACATCCACTGTGATTGGGACCAACATCTTTACGCCACCCACAACACCTGCCTTTCAAGGAAAGCCCGAAGTGCAGCAGTCTGGACCAAAGAGGTCCAAGATGTACTCAAGAGATCGTATCTCTGCTATCAACAAACCATGAGAGACCACACAGACTCAAATGGCTGCTGGTTCTCGCTCTCCAATGAACAAGCGGAGCGAGGCCACAAGCCCCTCCAGAAGATTAAGAGCAGCACAAACCCTCCCGCAGGCGGGAGGGAAAATGCTCCTCTCCAAAACAAGCTTCAGCCGAGCGGCAGAAAGCATCAACGTGGGTGGAACTGTTCTCGCATAGTTCGGAAAGCTAAAAAACTTTATGCACAACACCATGCTAGCAGTGTGTCGTTGCCCATCCTGGGGCCGGCTG